ACACAAATCTTCGTCCAATTAACCTTTGGACTCACCCCATTGAAGTGGCCAGGTTTCTCCGGCTGGATCCAGGATGATGATTTATATATACCTCTTCCCTACTCTTCCTCCTCCTTCTCCTTCATTACCCAACTAACTTTTATCCTATTTCCCTACGCATGTAATCGTCTTGTGTTTCCTTTCATGTTTATCTGCTTACAGGTCCTGCGGCTTATAACACCAACAACATATGGCCTGCTCCACTGCCGTAGTGAGTTGGCTCGTTACGCGTATGGAGTTGTAGCATATGATGGTTACAACAAACTGGAAAATTTTTCTTGCGGCCCTATTCGTACTTCTATCACCCCAGTTTCTGTGATAACTATTCAAGTCTTCAGTAAGGAATGTGGGTAAGTTGTTACTGATCAGTGTTGCTAGGTCCATTAGGTAGGTTTTCACGTTTGGCGGTGTATAAACTGAGGTAAAGATGATATTATCCGTTGGGCATTTAAGTAGTAGCTTCGAGCGATTGTAAGTTGTTAATTCTGAGGTAGTGGTTGATGTTTCTCCTAATAAGGATAGCAGTGCCCCTCCTCTTCTTTAGACCATGTCTGATATGTTAATGATGTAGTTAGGGATTTTTAGCTGCATTAAGGGTTTAAGGAAAGTCTATTGCAGAACCATATTGTCTGTTTCGAAATCATGAAGAAATTGTATAACTTCCTGTTTCTTGTTTGTTATGGAATTTGCATTACAGGTCACAACTTTCATGCGATGTAATCTTGATTCAGGTGACCTCAAGACTGGTGCTAGACTGCCTTGATAAGCTAAATTTGCTTGGCTAATTAAATCAGGTGTCGATTTTTTGGTTACCGCGACATACTGGCGTACGCGGAAACGAATACACGGACAAACTAGCCAGGAAAGGAGCAGCTACACCGATGTTGGTACTAGAACCTTCTTGTGTACTAGGAAATAATACGCTACTTTCTTTCATAAAAATAAAAGAGAACAGAAATAAAAAGGATAATTGGGATAATATACTAGGATTGAAACAATCCAAATCACTTATTGGTACCTATAACAATAAGTGATACCAGGATTGTATGAACCTACCAAAGGAAAAGCTTAGAATCATTACAGGCATTCTAACAGGGCACTGTAGATTAAAACACTACCTTACAATACTGGGGATACTTACGGATGCAAACTGTAGATTCTGTGAAGAGAATAAGGATAATTCAATATTTTTATATATATAATATTTTGTATAAACATATTAAATTGTTTTAATAAAGTTTAGAAATACAATAAAAATCAATCGTAATTGTTATCACTCTTATCGATTAGTTTGGGTGAAAAGTGCAGAAGCTAATTCACACAAAGGGCTATCAAGCTAAACCAGATTAAGGATCTATAATAAGTTATTACTATATTATGTGTCGTTCACACACAATTATCTGTACAAAGGATTAATATCCATCTTAAAAATATTTCAAATAAAATATGTTATTTTTAAATAAAAATTGAAATCCTTATAAATGAAAAAGCAAGAACACAATATAATTATCATAGTTTTTCAAAAAGCGTTCCCACAGTTGTACTTCATTAAATTTATTAAACGAACAAAGTTTCATGTATAACAATATATACATACAGTATATATTTTTTATATAAAAAATTAACCTAAAATAGAGTTTTGTATTCAAATAGAAGTACTATTAATTTTTATTTAATTTTATTTCAAGTTTTTCATATTGTACAGTATTATTCGAATAACATTAGAAACAGTTTTTTAATTATTTTTAATTTTTAGCGATCAACGTTCATTTAAGTAAAACACTGATCGATTTGAATCAAACATTGCGGTTATTTAAGATGTAATGTGAAAAACAAAATGCAATGTTGTGGTCAAGTTACTAAGTTAACTGTTTCTAAGTTAATCTTAAAAATGAGTACCACTACGGTGTACTGTGTTTAAAAAAAGGATTAAAATGACTACCCATTTTAAAATCTTTACCACGTCTTTTTTTCATCTCGTCAAAGCGATTGGACATTCCGTATAGTTCTTTTGGAACTGCTTGGCCAGCTTCTTCCAAAATACGAATGAGATCCTTTGCAATAGCCCAATCCGAGCGTGTTATATAACTTATGGCAGTGCCGGTTCGCCCAGCGCGTCCAGTTCTACCAACACGATGAACATACTCCTCAATGTTACGCGGAAAATCAAAATTAATAACATGACTAAGAAAAAAAAATTTTTCACAACTTCGGTTTTTAATACTACTAAGCACTTACGTGATGTCTTCAATGTCTAAACCTCTTGAAGCAACGTCTGTTGCTATTAAAATTTGTATGTCACCTGAGGTTAGATCAGCCAGTGCTTGTTCTCGATCGGCCTAAAGAAAATTTGTTTGAGTTTATAAGAATCTTATGCACAGAGGCATTACTCTAATAAAACTAATGTATTATGTACCTGATCACGAGAACCATGTATACATTGTGTTAACAGGCCTTTCAGAGATAAATCACTAGACAAGTCGTCAGCACGAGCTCGTTTAGAACAGAAGATAATAACTTTATCGCTTGATTTAAGGTTTTTTAAAAATGTCAGGACCTGTAACAGGAACAAATACATTTTTCTTCAAAGTTTTCTTTATTTAACTTTTCAAATAATATTACCGTATTAAATTTGTCCGCATCATCCACGAGTTCTACATTTTGAGTCACAGAATGAGTGGCAGTTAAATCAAGTGAGCCAACCCATACCTGTATAGGATTGTTCATATAGGTTTCGGCCAATCTACTAACACATGGTGGCCAGGTGGCACTAGTCATGACGGTCTGCCTGTCAGGGCGTATGTCAAGTAGAACTTTTCGAATCTGTGGCTCGAAACCCATATCCAGCATACGGTCCGCTTCGTCTAATATTAAATATGTAACCGATGTAATATCTACAACTTTAGCTTGAACCAAATCATTAAGACGTCCAGGCGTACAAATTATGCATTCAGCTCCTTCTCTGAAATCTCTAATCTGGTCACGACGACTGCCACCACCATAAATACATACACTGAATAAGAATTTCATTATTGCTTATTTTTTTATTCATTTGTTTTAAATTATTTCTTAACTTACGCTTTTATTCCACGGAACGAGTACTTGTTAACTTCTTTTGCTATTTGCTGTGCTAATTCGCGTGTTGGAGCTAAAATTAATATATTTGGACCATTGCGTTTCGCACGTGGTGTAGTCTGTCCATCAGTATGAATCAAAGCAGGAAGCAGAAATGCTAAAGTTTTTCCAGTTCCTGTTTGGGCAATACCTATCATATCCTCGCCTCTCAATAATATAGGCCATGCTTGCTTTTGTATAGGAGATGGTTCCGTAAAGTTTTGTTTCTTCAACTCATCAAGTATATCAGGATAATCTTTGAAACAGTGGTCGAATTTGTATATTGGTTTCGGTATATCAAGACACATTTGATCTTCACTTGTTTTTAAACGTGAAACAATTATATTGTTGTTTACTAAACGCATTTCATTGACTTCTTCCTCTGTCATAACAGCGATTTCCTTGACTTCTTGATAAAAATTTTTTCTCAGCTTTGGAAGATGCGCCCACTGCAACTTACGATATTCTTCCTGTAATAAAAAATATTTCATATGGGCAAAACAAATAAATCGATATCTTCATTTGTGGATTGTTAATATTTTTCTTACAACTTTTCTATTTAGAGATTCCCAATCGATAGGCTGCAATACTTCCTTCTTTTCAGTACCACCAATACATACATTTTTTGTAGGTAGACTTAATCTATTTTCGCCATTTTCTCCCTAAATAAATTTTATTATGAGCTACTATATTATATCCATACGCTCGTTGTATGTACGTCATACTTACAGATTTCGGAGTTGCAACCTGAATATTGTCATTTCTGGAAGAAGCACTAAAACGAGGCACGAATGATTTTTTTTTAAATTCAACTTTGGGATTGTGAGAAACTTCGTGATTTTGAGATGAAACATTTTTATTTTTATTTTTATTTTTATATTTCTGATCAGAGTGTTTTATAATTTCCAAAATGTATTTAACGGCATCGTCAACATTTTTTCTATTACGACCTTTCACAGTTACTATATGGTTGTCACTATTTATATGTACATTGACGTTGAACTTTGTTTTAATGCTTTTTATGTTGGAGCCGTTTAGGCCAATTATGGCACCAATGTAAGCTGGGTCAGTAGGAAATTTTTCTATAATCTCATTCAAATTGGACATGTTTGCACTTAAAACTCCATACACATTCCTTTTAGGTGGATCATCATCCCACATTATTTCCAAATCATCCATTTTGATGTCAGCAAAACCTACAAAAAAGAATACCTCAATATTATATTCATTTTTACACAAAACCAACTAAATTTCAAACATTCAAATTGAGCCAATTTTCACGAAATCACGAATTCACGAATTCACGAATTTACGAATTCTCAATCATATCAAATGAAACGGTTTTTGAAATTAACTATTAAAAGTAGAAATATGTGTTCTTATAAGGATTATTGAGAGATAAAGCAATGCCAGTTTTTTGTTTTTGATTTGTATGTTGAAAATCATACTGTCACTTTCTTAAGTCTCATCACGCAGTGGCTCTATTGTTTCTTGTGACTTTTACTGAAATTCATTCTTATATAAAATGGTAATATGTGAAATGCAGATTTTATTTTTTGCAAATAGGGTCACATAACCTTAAAAACACCATTGCTCAAAGAAACAAGTATTTTTAGAAAATTTCAAGATTAATTGAAAATATTTAATTGAAAAAAGTTGCACATATATTCGATTTGAAGTCCCGCATTTTATGAAGCAAAATACATACCAGTAATAAAACTAAAACCGAAACTTAATCGAAAAAACACAAGCCAAAAAACGATTCGACCACCGACGCGTCTCTTGAAAAAGTAATTAATGTAGAAGAAAACTTGTTCCGTTCCCGTTCTTTCAAAATTAATATAAGTATATTTGGCAGCCCATACACAGATTTGCTTGAGATTGATGCAACTATATAGTAATTTGGTTTATGCTTTATGTGCACAAACCAATTTCACAAAGGAATATTCATTTGAAATGATTACACAATCCGATTGGCACATTATTTAATAATGTAAAAAATCCACATACAATTTTAATACTACATGTGTTCAATAATAAAAATTTTATCAATGTTCTGGCAATTTCGTATGACTCATTGCTGACGTTTCTTATTAATGAACCGGTCAGCATTCTGATAAGAGCGTCTCTTTATATAATTATACACCTATACCTCGGTTAACAGCCATTTCGTGCAACAGTAGACTCGATTAACGATCTAGCCGTATTTCTGACAGTGTTTCGCTTAACAGTGAAGAAACCGATAAATATGCCTTTTATAATGCAAGCAATGGCTGGTTTAATGATCGATATGCCAAAAAGTTTTCTGGAAGAAGTACAACATTATAAATTCTATTGTAAACACAGACAACAGTGCATTCACACAGTCTCGTTTAGCCGGTTTTGCACATTATAATCACTAATGAGTATGATATACCATACAAAGAGCTTTCATTAAAAAGGAGCTCATTTACTACAAATCAGCACATTTAAGACCAAAAATGTCGAACGCAACCCTTAAAACTAATGGTTGATTTGCTTGTTTGTTTATTTAAAATCAGGAAAGAACAGCAGTGAGTTAGAGTTTCGAGAGAGGCGCCATCCAACTAAAAGTATTTCCATGTATTAAAAAGATTACTGAATAATTTATTTATACATACCATTACAAAATCAGTATGCAAAAGTATTTCAGGTATGTTTTTACAAATTTGTATCGGTTTTTTTAAAAAAATGAACTTGTCTATTAATCACAACAGGGCCCATCATGAAATGAAGCATCGTTACTGCCGCCATGCTCATCTCCACGTCCATCGGCAGATCCAATATGATCTTCACATACATCGCTATATCCAATATCTATGTCGGATGACTGTGAAACACCTGCAAAAGAAAGAAATAAAGATAATATAAATGAAACTCTTTTGCAACACTTTCAGAATCTGATAGATGTGGAGAACCGTCACATCGCACTGCAAAAATGCACAGACGCAAGGTTTTTGAATTTAATGGAAGCAAAAAATGTTGCTTTGTCGCGTATCGCATCATCAAAGGAAAGAGGCTTTCCATATACCCGGCTCACTGGAGACAATGACTCAAGCGATGACTATGTATATTTGTTGCGGTCAACTGCTATTATATATTATAATTTCTATTACCATAATATGTTGAAGCCAGTTGAGTCAGTGCACTTAAGCACTTTTACTCTCTATTAACTGCGAGGTTTCTGCAAAACCCCTCTCTACGCCCTAACTGGATTATTGTATATCTCTTCATCAAACTAAGCAATAATTAACCTAAGATCTGCATACTTCTCTGAGGAGCCCGTAACCATTCTAAGATTCGATAACGCGGTGTTAGTAAGTCTGTCAGTTTTCGTAAATAATTTCAGGTCCATATCCTTCATATATTTTTTGAACGGATCAATCTTAATCTTGATCAATCTTATCACTTCATCAGACTTACCAATAATTACGCTTAGATCTGCATACCTCTTCGAGGAGCCCGTAACCATTCTAAGATTCGATAACGCGGTGTTAGTAAGTCTATCAGTTTTCGTAAATAATTTCAGGGCTCTATCCTTTATGTAGTTTTTGATCGGATCAATCTTGACGTCTACATGCTCTTGAAATGTTTTGCTTATGTTGAGAGCACATTTATCCAGGTGTAGCATATACGTGTCGTCAGCGTATAACACCAAAATCGATGGACCTAACATTGGGATATTAGATGTATAAATGTTGTAGAGAGTGGGAAAAATGGAGATCTCTGAGGAACCCCTGCTTCTGATTGACGAGAGATTGCTGTTGATTTTCGTGCGAAAGGATCTCTCACGTAAGAAGCTGCCGATGATTTTAGTTGGCCTGCCTGGAACACCTAGATCAGACATTTTACTATCAGGCCATCATGCCAGACCTTGTCAAAAGCTTTATAAATATCAAAAATGATCTTTCCAGTCGACTTTCTTCCACTAAGGGCTGTTTGAATCATTTCCGCCGTTCTAGCTAGTTGAAGTGCCTTGGACAGGTCATTATTATCCGGTTTAGGGAAGACAATGACTGTGGCCAGCTTCCAGGTCTTAGGAAATTCATCTAGCCTGAGCATACAATTAATAATGTTAGTGATAAGCTGGATTGCGTTCTCTGGCAGGTTACGTAGGCATCTGTTGTTAATTATATCATGGCCAGGTGCCGACCTAATCTTCAATCTCGCTATAATTTGGGAGATTTCTTCGTTACTGCATACTGCAGTGCCATCATCTGGCTCCTGATCCAAAATATTATTTGCCTCCTCGGAGATGCGTTCTTCTTCCTCTGAGTCATATTCTAAGTCTTCATTGGGCTGGAATTGAAGTTCAAGGGTGTCTGTGAAGGTCACGGCTTTTTCTAAATCTGTATATACCAAGCCTGTTCCTCTATGGATGGGTGGTATTACTGGTTTACGCTTCAGGCTGAAGTATTTATTTATGACCCAAAAGGCTGTTCCAAGGCCGTTGAGAAATTCACCCTATTTCACGTTTTTAAATATATAAATCTTTTTCCTGATTTCATTTGAAGGACGGTTGGCCTCCCTTCTGCTCTCCGGGTCACAAGTTATTTGAGTAAATTTCCGGATTCTATTTTGATTTCTAATCATGTTTTTAAAAGGCTGCGGTAAGTTAAAATAACTGTATGGTTTCCTATATTTGAGGGTGGAGCTATCAAAGGCATGCTTTAATAGATGGGCCAGGTTCTGTATACAGTTATCCAATTTTTCTAAGGCTTCTGGATGGTTTTTGATGCAGCTAACGTCTACTAAGTTCTTGAGCGCGTTCCAGTCGCTGGTAGATAACGTAGGGGTCATAGTGTTCATGGGACAGTTTATGGGAAGAATGAATAGAACCGGTTTATGATCAGAGTCTAGCTCATCTAAAACTTTCATATGCACGGTATAATCTAGGTTGGACATGCCGAGGTCTATTATATGGCCTTGGCATGTCTATTATATGGCCTGCTTGGTTCCACAAACGGTCGAGTCTACGTCCCGGAGCCACTCGTCATCAACGACGACCAAGAATCGTTTAACATCCCCCAATAGGACTCCTCAAGTGATTGGAATCCTGCTTTTAAAAGAGCTTGCTGTCCTTCAGCACCTCTACATAGACAATCTCCTTCTTCGTCGACCTTTGGCAGTCCTTCTCCAACCAATGCCTCTTCTAATTCTCCTACCACTTGGCTTTACACTGTGTGTAAAAGAGTAATCTCTAGGAACACCATCTCCGTCCGTTGCAATTCTTGTAATGGCTGGTGTCACCTTAGACCTTGCTCCGGATTGGTCTCGCATCATGGTTGGAATTCAAATTTCATTGGCAATTGCTGCCAAACTCCGCCTATTATTCCACCACAAAACCACTCACACCTGCAACGCACTAGCGTAGTCTCCGTAATTAATTGTTCATCCCCTCTCAAAATTCTACAGTTCAACTGTAATGGTCTAAGAAGGAAACTATTTGAAATTGCAGCATTCATGTTCTCCAACAACATTGCAGTAGCTGCACTGCAGGAGATTAAACTTTTGCCCAACTCCCCTCTCTTTCCCCCCTCAGGCTTTACACTTATTCGTAAAGGTCGACCTAGAGGCGCAGGAGGTGGCGTTGCTTTTCTGTTGCGGGATTCTACATATCATTTTGAGCTTTCTTTGCCCTCGTCTAATGACGAATACTTGGAGATTATAGGGTTAAAAATTTTCATTGGTAGGTCTTTAAGGTTCCTTGAACTAATCAATATATATTAGCTACCCAACTCTAGCTGCCCTCCGCAGCACACCCCAAATATTTCACATCTTCTAGATGAGGACTCGCGTTTTGTTCTGGGTGATTTGAATGCACACCATTCCCTCTTTTAGTGTTCTAAATGAGAACTCCTCCACTAGGGTAACGCCAACTTGTTCCAGCTCTCCTGATGTCAGTCTCGCAAGCCCTCTGCTTCTCGCTGCCTCGAATTGGAGTGTTGATATAGCTTTAAGCTCTGATCACACTCCCATCACAATTTCTATTCCATCGATCGAGGTCCTCACTGCGGCTGACAAGAAAACCTACAGGAATTTCAAAAAGCGAATTGGGCCCTTTTCAAAGATATTTCAGAACGCGACTTCAGCAACAGTTCCCTGTCCTCTGATTTGAACAAGGCAGAGAAACAATTTCGCAGCATAATTATCAAAGCTGCCGCCACAGCCGTCCCAGCAGGTAGAATTAAAACCATTAGACCAGGTTTTCCTAGTGACGCTGTGCCTCTTGCTGAAGAACGCGGCAATCTTCGAAGATTGAACCCAACCAATCCACACATAAAAATCCTGAACAATAACATCCGTAAAATGGTGGACGATTATCGTCTTAGTAAATGGAAGGAACATTTAGATAATTGCGACCTCCAAAATGGTAAATTGTGGACTACCATTAAAGCACTTTCTAATCCTCCCTCTTTACTTCCTGGGCTAAAGAGGAATTCTTGACTCTGCCCATAAATATCGGTGAAATCAGGATCCCTACCACCACCAAACCTAAAATCCTGGGTGTCGTACTCGACA